GGGGGGGGCAGCGTCACCGTCAGCGCCGTTCTTCCTCCGGTTAGGGCAGGCGTGCGGGCGGGCTTGCCTATCGTCGCTCACCAAGGCGCCTTACGACGGCCCCGTGCGAGTATGCAACCCGTCTGTGTAACCAGAAGAAAAAGCGGCGCTGACGAACCACCCTCTGTTAGTCACATTATTAAAAGTAAAAAGCCCGTCAACAGAGTAAGCGTCAAAAGGTCGCATTAACGTGTGAAATGTGCTTTCCGGCTTGAGTGTCTGGGAAAGGGCGCGCCTGGAGTCTCACCTCGTCTCCCCCCCCCCCCAATCTGAGTGCATTTTGTCTGCCGGAAAAGTAGAAGGCCATGTTCGTGGTTACATACGGTCACATATGACAGAGATGTTTCACAGGCCTGCGCACGTGAGCGTCGCTGGTTGGAGCGTTCGACATCTTTACGACGTTTTCGCGGGATGTTTGTAGTGGTACTGGGCCGGAAGGGGGTGGGGCTGACAGTTCTTTCTCGACGGGGCAATAGATTTCGGAAATGGTTTAACATATTAACGGCCGACCTGGTATGGCTCCAGCTCGCACTTGAACAAACATATTAACTCACCGAGACGCCCCTCCTCCTCCTCTTGCAGCGACGCGAGTGGACGCAGCTGCCCGCCATCGGCGGCGGGCTGGGCGGGCTGATGGGGTCGGTGGGCTCGCTGGTGACGGCGCGCCTCGCCAAGGCCGTCGTCCTGGCCTTCGGCCTCCTCAGCCTCGGGGAGCGGCTCGACCGCCTGCAGCCCGGCGTCGCCTTCATGCTCGTCTCCGCCGTGTACTTCGTGCTCACCCAGTGGCCAGGTGCGTGCGGCGGTAGCTAGAAGAGCAAGTAGTCGCTGTGGTGGAGTCATGGTACGGCTATTATGGTGCAAACAAATAAAAATAAAATTCACGCACTTGCAGGCCGGCCGGGGGAGCAGACGGCCGCCGTGGAGCTGGTGGTGAGCGCGCTGTCCCTGGCGCCGCGGTCCTGCTACCTGGGCGCCCTGGAGAGCCTGGAGGGCCTGGAGGAGTTTTGGGTGCCCCTGGGGACGCGGGCGGGCGCCGCCGTCGCCGCCGCCGTGCTGGGCCTGCTGGTGGCCTGGGAAGGCTTCTGGCTGCTCGGCGTTTTTGTCCTGTGAGTCTCTCCAGCGAGGTGTCCACGACTCATACTCAAGAAATTTTTTAAAAAATATCTCTTAATTTTTTCCCGAGCAGTTTGATTTTTCCGATTTTTCAGGAAGTATTACAAATTTTTACAATATTTTTCCCCTATAAAGTTTTTAATTTTTCCGGAAATATTTTGGACCCTTGTGGAAGTGATATCGGGACAATGAGAGCATCGCGTCTCGAGATGCTTCACGCCTGATGCGCATCTCGCTGAGTACCGAGTGTACTGTTGGTACTGTCTGGACGATTACTCGGGGCCGCAGCATCGGCCGTATTACCTAGTCCGATGCTATTCCCACACCCTGCAAGCTTACAATATTGCATGTGAGTTCGTCAGGTAACTTGAGACCCACGGCGCGACTGGGCTCGATCAGCCACCATAGCGATGGGTCAGCCAGCAGCGAGACGGAGCGCGGAACAAGGGCGACATCCGGTCTCCAATACCCGCGCCGGGCCCCCGGGTCAATGCCTCGGTCAATGTGCGGGGAACGCCGCCAGCCGGAGCAGGCAGATGAGCAAAAGAATAAAGGAAGTGGTCTTTGGATCACCCTGTGTCTACGACATTTATAGCGCCGATTGTCGCAAATGCCCTCCTTGCGGGCAACCTATTAATGGTGCAACAAGTGACCCTGCTGCACTCGTTACCCCCAGACTTGTGTAGGCGTGAGTGGGTGCTCGCGCCCTCGATTCGAGTCACTTCTGCGCACTTCTAATTCTACCCCCCAAAATTGTAGCTTATAAGATTGTTTCAGTTTTGTTTTTGGTTTTTGTTTCTATTTTGACCTAAAATGGTTATTCTCTCGAATATTTATTTGTTTCAAATTTCAATATGTTTCTTTCTGAACCTCCCGCCAGGTACGCGTGCGCCCTGGTGCCGTGGCAGGCCGGCCTGCGCAGCTGCTGGCCGCAGCTCCGCGCGCAGCTGCAGCTGACGGCGCGCTTCCCGCGGCCGTCCGCCGAGCAGCTGGGCGCGGCGGGCACCTGCGCCGTGTGCCTCGACGCGCTGACGGCCGCCACGGCGCGCCGCACGCCCTGCGCGCACGTCTTCCACTCGCGGTGCCTGCGCGAGTGCGCCCACCGCTTCGGCACCTGCCCGCTCTGCAAGCGCAGCCTCATCTCCTCGCCCTGACTGTCACTGTGAGCACCAAGTCCCTGGACACTTGTGTGCTTTCATCATCAATTCGACATAGCAGGCAAGAGCTGAAACTTAAAGTTCTGCAAAAGTTCAACACCAGTGTTGTTTTGGACGAACTCGATAGAGCAGACAAGGGCCAAAATTGAAGGTTTTGCAAACATTTGAAGTGTATTATGTCTAATGTCTACTTTTAGGACTAGGAGGGGAAAAAAGGGTGAAGAGTTTGACTGTGTTCTTCCAAACTTTTGTAAAAACAACTGATTTCTGGGTTTCAATTATTTTGTTAACGTCTTTGTGTTGCTCGAAAGATGTTTCTTTGGCTTACTAAATTATCATGCCAACACAATAGTTTTAAAGAATATGCCAAACTGAGGCTCCATTGACAATTTTGAAGGTGAGGGAGATAAATCAGTACAATATCATTTTACAAAATAACATTAAACAATTTTATTGGTTCTGTTTCTGTGATATACTGTACATGTAATAGCTAGAATAATAAATGGAGTACAAAATACAGCCTCACTAAAATAGTACCATCAGTCCACAAAAATTTTACAGTACCTTATTACAAGGAAATTGTTGCACAGCAAGAGAGATTTTGTAATGCTACACAGGATGCAGAGCATAGCATAAGAAAGGCATCTGCAATACAGTATACAGTACAGTATATATAGATACATATATATATCATAATAGAA